AACAGAACACACTTTCAGTAACTGCTTATACAGACAAATTTGAGGAGATCATGGCCATCGTCAGAGCTGAACATCCATATCTGCAAGAGCATTACTAAGTGGTCAGTTTTGTAAATGGACTGAAACCTAGCATTAGGTGCAACTTACAGCCTCAAATACCACAAACATTATCTCAAGCTTACTGGTTAGCTCGAGACTATGAGAGTGGCATCCAAGCAAAGTATCAGTCTTATGTCAATCAACAAGAGAAACAGCAGCAGAAATAATCAACCCCTCCAGCTCCTAATTTACAAGTACCTGCTGCTGCACCAGCAACTAAGAAACCAGGCATTTGTTGGCGATGTAATGGACCTTGGGTTCCTGGTCATAAGTGTAAGCAAGCTCCATCATTGCATGCCGTAGCTGGTACTGACAGTGCACCAGAAATTACCACTGAAGAAGAGGCACAACTTGCAGTTCTGTCAACATAAGGTCAGTGGGTTGAATCTGATAATCAGTGCATGCATATCTCTGCACAGGCCATATCTGGAAACACATCTCCCTCAACTTTAGCAGTCACCATAGTAATTGGAGGCAGACAGGGTGTAGCCTTGGTGGATACTGGTAGTACCAACACTTTTATTGACCTGAAGTTTGCTATGAAAGCCAATTGTTCTCTGACCAATACCCTGACAAAGAAAGTGTCAATTGCTGGGGGTGGTTCTCTGTTATCAGGTGCTTATGCTCCAGACACAAGCTTTAAGATATGCAATGAACAATTTTCCAATGATTTCACTGTCTTAGAACTATAGGGATATGATGTAGTTCTTGGGTGTGATATGCTCACAAAGCACAATCCCCTCTCCATGGACTTTGAAGCTAGAATTGTTACTATGCTCAAAGACAAACTGCATTCAGTGACTTTTCCTGACTGTACAACTACTGTTGCTCCCAAAATCATTTCAGCAGAGAAGTTGGAACAGATGTGCTCTAAAGGTGCAGTTGGTTTCACTATGAGTTTGCAATTTATGACAACAGAAGGCAAATCATTTCTAGCTGCTCAACAAACACCTGAAGATTTTCTGCCTGTTCTGGAACAATATGAGGAACTGTTTAAAGAACCAACTACTCTACCACCATCAAGAGACTGTGATCACTCTATCCCTCTCAAGGAATATGCAACTCCTTCAAATGTGAGACCTTATAGAGTGGCACATTTGCAAAAGGAAGAAATGGAACAACATATCAAAACTCTGCTCTCCAGGCACATTATCCAACATAGCATGAGCCCTTATGCATCACCAGCAATATTGGTTAGGAAAAAAGGGGGGACCTGGAGATTGTGTATAGATTATAGAAAATTGAATGCACAGACAATCAAGAATAAATTTCCTATTCCTGTTATAGAAGATTTACTGAATGAATTAAATGGAGCAACAATATTCAGTAAGTTAGATCTGAAATATGTTATCATCAAATCATAATGAAAGCAGAGGACATACACAAGACAACATTCATAACTTATTCTGGCCATTATGAATTTTTAGTCATGCCCTTTGGACTGACTAATGCTCCAGCAACATTCCAAGCTTTAATGAACAAACTATTTGCACCATATTTGAGGAAGTTTGTGCTAGTATTCTTTGATGATATCATGATCTTCAGCAAAAATCCGGAGGAACATAAAGAGCATTTAAAGATTGTTATGGACATACTGAAGAAAAACAATCTTCCACTCAACAAATCCAAGTGCATCTTTGAAACTCCCACTGTGGAGTACTTGGGTCATGTGATCTCGGCTCAGGGAGTAGCAACTGACCCTGAAAAGATTGCAGCTGTGCAACAATGGCCTGTACCTGCTAACATCACTGAACTGAGAAGCTTTTTGGGATTAGCTGGTTACTACAAAAGGTTTATCCAGGATTATGGAGTAATCTGCAGGCCCCTACATGACTTGCTGGAGAAAGATTCTTTCCTTTGGTCTGAAACACAGACAACAACATTTAACAAGCTCAAACACAGTCTGACCCATGCACCAGTACTAGCTCTACCTGATTTCACTATCCCATTTGAGCTGGAATGTGATGCTTCAGGTGCTGGCATTGGAGCAGTTCTCATGCAATAGCATAGACCCATTACTTATTATAGCAAATCCCTGGGACCTAAAGCAGCTGCACTCTCCACTTATGAAAAAGAGGCAGTAGCTATACTGGAATCTCTTAGGAATTGTAGACACTATTTTCTTGGATCCTCTTTGATCATCAAAACAGACCACCAAAGTCTGAAGTATATAACAGTACAGAGAATTTCAAAAGGAATTCAGCATAAGCTCATGCTCAAACTGCTGGAGTTTACTTATACTATAGAATACAAGAAAGGAAAAGAGAACAAAGCTGCTGATGCACTTTCAAGAAAACCTCAAGTGATGTCTATCTCCATGGCAATTCCCAGTTGGACAGAGAGCATTGAGAACACTTACAAAAAAGATGACAAATTCAAAAGTCTTATAGCTCAACTCACAACTAGCACTACAACATTGCCACTGTATACATATACTGCAGGTATACTGAGATACAAAGATAGGATATATGTGGGCACTGATCCTGAATTCCAACAACAACTTCTGTCCACATTTCACTCCTCTCCTATTGGGGGACATTCTTGAGTGAGAGCCACTTACCACAGAATTAAGAGGATTTTCTATTGGCCAAACCTTAAAGCCCATATAGAAACATTCATACAACAGTGCCCAGTGTGTCAGAGAACAAAAGGAGAACATTGCCACTATCCTGGACTGTTGGACCCCCTCCCAATACCTGATATGGCCTGGAGGCACATTTCTATGGATTTTGTAGAAGGTCTACCTAAATCTCAGGGTAAAGATGTAATCCTAGTAGTTTTGGACAGATTTACAAAATATTCACACTTCATTGCTCTATCCCACCCATTTACTGTCACAACTGTTCTGCAAGTTTTCATTGACAACATCTTCAAACTACATGGAATGCCAATATCTATAGTAACTGACAGAGATACAATCTTTACAAGTAACTTTTGGCAGGCCCTGTTCAAAGCTCTGGGAGTGAAACTCAATATGAGTACAACTCATCACCCTCAATCTGATGGACAGACAGAGAGGGTCAACCAGTGTTTGGAGGCCTACCTCATAGCTATGGCATTCAATGAACCAAGGAAGTGGTGTGCTTGGCTATCTATGGCAGAATGGTGGTTTAATACCTCCTACCACACAACAACTAAGTTCACACCTTTTCAGTGCTTATACGGATTCCCACCTCCACAGATTGGAGAAGTTTCAGTACCTGGACCTAGTGATACTGAGACACAGTCCTTCTTGCAACAGAGAGAACATATGTAACAACAACTGAAACACAATCTGATCATCGCACAACAGAGAATGAAGAAATATGCTGACAGAAACAGAACAAATAGATAGTTTTCTGAAGGAGATATGGTATATCTCAAATGCAACCTTACAGACTTGCTGCTTTTGGTATTCGGACATGCCTCAAACTAGCTACAAAGTTTTATGGGCCTTTCAGGATCTTACAAAAGATTGGCAATTCCTCTTACAAGCTACTGCTACCTGAAGCTGTTCAGATACACAACGTTTTCCATGTGAGCCAACTAAAAAGACACTTGGGACCGAATGCCATCCCTGCTCCAGGACTGCCACTTGTTGACGCTTCAGGGAAAAACAAAGTTGCTCCTGTCTTGGTCTTGGAAACACGAGCAATTCCTCGACACCCAAAACTTGTCACCCAATGGTTACTTCAGTGGCTGAACATGTCGCCTGAGGATGCGACGTGGGAAGACGCAGACTTCATCAAGTTTACATTCCCTGACTTCTTCAATGCAACAATTCGTTCTTGGTTTCCTTCCAAAGATCCCCGAGAACAAGGATCTGCTTCTGGAGAGGGTAATTGTCAAGACCCAGAACCCCGCAGACAGTTAACTGAAGAAATCGACAGTTTAACTGAAGAAATCAACACTGAAACTGAAGAAATACCGGTCTGGGAAATGGACGACTATGATGGAACCAGCGAGTGACGATCAACAACTATCTTCAGTAACAGAGTCCTGTTCATCTTCACGTCGTTGCCGCCACCCGCATGACAGCTACAGAACGGGATTAGTGCACGTGACTCGCCACCTGCTCCCTCCTACTTATCCCCTCCTCCAAGCCCGAGCGGGGCATCTTTCCCCTTTCTCCAAGTTGTAACAGCTAGCCTAAGGTAGAACCCTAGACTACTTGGTAGAATTCGGGCAGATCCTCGATCTGAACCCTTGTATCTGTACTTGTTGATGCAATTTATCCAATCAGGGCTAGTTCGAGTGCTTGTGTTGCTGTTCGATGTGATTTGGTCCTGTCAAACCAAAGGAGGCTTAGGCTTTGTTTGGTATCAAGGGGGAGAAAACCCAAGGCAACAAGCCCCCACGGGTAATTTTCACACGCACACGGAATTCCCTATCAACCGCGGGGAGAATTTCTGTCACCGTTTGGCACCAAGGCGAGGAAGCTGAGATCCACCCGAGGAAGCGGCTGTACGACGCAGGGAGGGAGCGGTGGCCGTCACCTCTTTTTCGCAAGAGCCAGCGTGGGTTTCATCCCCGACCCATCGAGGCGTGGAAGCCTCTCCAAGGACGTGGAAGGGGCGGGGGTGGCCCAATCTGATGGGCATCCAAATGCAGTGGCGGCCTTCCCAGGAGTGAATCAGCCCGTGGTTGCTCCACCCAGGAAATAGGCAGGGATCCCCTGCAACCAAATTAGCCCTTAACATATTTTCTCAACCGCGCGCTACAGTATCAGTCAAACCCAATGGGCCGGCCCAGTCGGGAGTTCTATTTGCACAAAACGCGTCTCCCGGTTGTCAGCGAAACGTCACCGACCGGGCCAGTTTCACGGGCCTGCGTCAACCCACACATCACGACGGCATCAGGCTCCTCGCCGTGAACGAGCCCCATCAACCCCCGTCGACTGCTCGGCTGCTCCTCTCCCAACCATGGCGGCCGTGGCGCCTACCCCCGACAACCTCGAGCCCCCGCCGTCCACTCCTCCAAACACGGCAACCCCACCTCAGGCCACCGTCACGTCCACCCCGCCGAACCAGGCAACCCCTAATCCCCCGGCCTCCAACCCCACGATGTCAAGCCCTAACCCTAACCCCGCCCTCGCCCCCGCCCCTCCGGTCGTCCTGCCGCCGTTGCCCCCTGTTCCGGTATCCTTCGCCCCTTCCTTCCGGCCGCTGGGTGCACCGCCCTCGCCGCAGGTGCAGCAGTACGGTGCTATACGTAATCCGGGCTACCTGATGGGACAGCCGATGCAGCCGCCAGGCGTGCACCACGTGATGCGTCCGCCGACCATGTACGCGCCCCAGCCGGGTCCGTACATGCAGCAGCCGGGCGTCGCCGTTCCTCCCGGTGGGTCCCGTTCTCCATCCATCTCTAGGCTTATACGATTGAATGGCAATAGATTTATGCTTCCGCCTGATTGTGCCTGGGAAATCTCCCGACGTTCCATGTGCTGCGCTGTAGGAAATCTGGTGGAATCGACTGGATATGTCTTTAACACGCGGGTAGGATCTGGGATTAGGGTTTAGAGGTGGGATGCGCCTGATGCTAGTGATTTACAGTAGTGTTTAGAGAAACTGGCATCCCCTCGCTTGATAACGATGACAGGGTATTTCTCTGCTACAGCGGTGGTCGTGCCGGCCATTACTCCCTTCAGCGAGAGGTGCCGGCTCATGTTTGATTCTGCTGCTCTAACTGAAGCTATAACAGATCATTTTCTCCCTCACTGCATGTGGTATGCTGACTGTTTGAATTTGAACTGGTTATATTTAAATTGTGTGAAATTGATTTAAATGCTTTAGCTTGCCGTTTAATTAGGCTCGGTTTCTGTATGTACTTAGATCCTTCGACAATGGGTTGTTCAAAAAATGGGCTAAGGTACCATGATTTCCTGTCGCTTAATTTCATGTCAAGTATTTCTTGCTTAATTTGGTTTAAATTACTTTTATCGTTAATAAGAAGTTTAGAGTGAGTGACACATTTGCTTAAGCTTTTATATCTTGAGTAGTGCAATGCAATGGTGTGAGCTGTCCCAAGTTTTGCAAATAACCAATACAAGTACGTTATCCTGCCTAATGGGCGCTAAGAGGTAAGGCTAGCTTTCCCTAGTTCTTATTTTATTTGAAAATAATATTGTTTTTTTGTCGATGTTCATCCCGGTTATTCTGAATATGCAAGATACCTGCTTATCTATTTAGTGCTGCTCTTCTTTCCCTGTGTCTTATGCTAGCTTACATATTTTTAAAGGATTAATGTATGCACTCTGTGCTCTGTTTTCTGGACTGTTACTAATGTGGCAGCATAGATGTTTGTTTGTTTCTCTCTTCAGGTGTGCATCGTTATCCTGGACCATATACTATGATGCGTCCATGTTTTCCTCCACGCCCAATGCCTCCTGTTGGTGTTGTGCAAATTCAACGGCCAGCAACAATTCCTGGAATTCGTGGTGCTCCTCCTATGGTAGCCCCTCCTGCCAGACCGCCTGCTCCAGCTGTCACACCCGCTGACAAACCACCAACTGCAGTTTATGTCGGGAAGATCGCCCCAACAGTGGACAATGGTTTGCTTCTTTCGCTTCTTCGGGTATATCACCTTTTCCCTATTATTTTTGTAGTATATTAACATGGCAATGTCGACTTGTACATACTTTAGTCAGTTTTTCTGTTTATGCCATCAAATGCTTTTAGCATGTGTGTTTAAATGTTTTCCCATCTTCAGATTTGTGGACCTGTCAAGAGTTGGAAGCGCACCCAAAATCCAAGTAATGGCAAACCAGTAGCGTTTGGCTTTTGTGAGTTTGAATCTGCTGAAGGCATCCTTCGTGCGACACGGTTGCTGAACAAATTGAGCATTGATGGGCAAGAACTGGTGGTATGCATCATTCTTACATATTTCTTATGATTGTGGAATCGGTGGATTTGATAAATATGGGAACTAAAATGTAATTTCATTCGGAAGGATAAGGACCTGCATATAACCTAATAATAGGACATCAGTTGTTTCTAACAAAATCTTTTTTGTAACAAATTCTTACATATTTCTTATGATTGTGGAATCGGCGGATTTGATAAATATGGGAACTAAAATGTAATTTCATTCGGAAGGACAAGGACCTGCATATAACCTAATAATAGGACATCAGTTGTTTCGAACAAACTCTTTTTTGTAAAAGCTGACAACTGTTTGTAAACTGATTCTTAGTAACTTGCATGTTCCATGTACGAACCAACGGGAACTTATTGAATTTTTATGAGCGTGTTTGGATGGCATCCATGCCACTACACGCCTGGCCTGGACAGGTCCCTGTATTCTCCCTGGCGACTGTTTTGTTCGTGTCCATGAGTAGAAAATGCATACCTGGCCTGGCTGGCTCAAATGCGTGATTAGCCTGGTCAAGTTACGAAAGTACGCAAGGAAACACTAGCCTGGTAACCCTGGTTCGAGACCTGGCAAAAATTTGCCTGGCCTGAACCTTCCTTGAGACCTGCCTGGAAATTGTTTGGTTGATGCCTGAAGAGTGAAACACTAGCCTGGCCTGGAGCTTCTGCTATGGTCATTAGCCTGACTCAAATACCAGGCATGTTGGTTAGCCTGGACCAGGCGTTCTGCACCAGTCGCCTGGCTCAAGCCTGGGGTTCTAATTCTGCTTTTTTCTTGTGGGCCAGCAGCTATTTGCAGTCTGACACATAAATAATTGCTTCACAGGCACAGGACACGAACCGAACGCGTAGCACTCAGGCTGGCCTGGCCAGGCAATTATTTTCATGTCTCCAGGCCGTTGCCAGGCTTCATTTTCTCCCAGGCATGAAGTCCAGGCCTCAAACCAAACTAGCTCAATATCTTTTCCCCAGGCAGTGGGCTTAGCCTGGACCAGGCCTCCGGTTCCCTGCGCCTGGACATGCCTGGCGTGTAATTAACATTTTTTATTCTTTATCTGACACAGCACCAGGCAACTCCGAATCCAAACAAGCCTTTGCCAGGCTAGCCTGGACAGGCACAAAAGGATCACCTTACCAGGCGTAGGCCAGGCGCCTGATTTTTTCAGGCACGGACCCCAGGGTGCCATCCAAACTGGCCCTATGCCTTTGTCGCTCACATGTTGGTTCCAGACCAATCTGTAAAAATATGTTTCACCTGTTGGACTGATGGAAAATGAGGGCCCACAAATTCTAATTCACAAAGCTTAATTCTTATGTACTGGAACCCTGTGCCGAAGGATTAGAATAATACTTTCCTTTTGCTTCCATGACGTTGTGTTAGGGTATTAGGGATTAATTTTTGAAACCTTGTAGCCTGAAGGCATCCTAGTCATAGAATGCTTGTTTTACCATCATGTGCATGTTTTTAGACATTGTACCGACCAGGGGCGGACCCAGGACGAAAATGTCCCGGTGTCCACGCCTAAATTACATGTGTGGATGCCAAGCTATGTTATGCATATAAAACTAACATACTCAACAACTCTAGATAACCAGTAGTAAATATCCTTATCAAAATAGTGTTGTACTTAAATTTGTAGTTGATTATATGAAGTCTTTCGCCCAAGTTGAACAATAAAGCATAAAAATTATGAACACAAGTTTAATCAGCTAAGGCTACACTATTTAAGTTTGAACATGCTAGCATCGAAACAAAAGATAAAACATATTGGTTGAATTTATAATTATGAAGATGTACTTACTTACATTGTGTTGTTCTGAGTTGTGCATTCAATGGGCAAGGAATGATCCACATAAATGAGAACCACTTGGACTCGATCCTTACTTACCAACACTAGCAAATCGCAGTAATTCAATTCTTAACTGTAACATCGTTGGAACTAACAGCTCTAGACCTACAAACAAATTTAGAAGGAAGTTATATAGGTACGCACTTGGACTCGATGGTAACGACTTGCGGTACTTTTTTCATCAATTCTCCAACGATTAGGCGCATAGGCCATGGCAACACAGACGCTTCAATGACGATTGGGCAGGTGGGTGAGGCGACGCGCCATGACGAATCTGTGCAGGGGGAGGCAAGAAGCCATGAGTAGGCGCAGATTTTTCTTAGGGTTGCAGGTGTAAATAAAAGCGATCAAAATAGTTGGAGAGAATCTTGTCCTTATCTCTTCAATTCAGTATATGGCAACGTTGTTGCCACTAACAGCAGTTCCTGAATCAGAGGCACGCAGACCATGGGGAGTGCCCCAGATCCTAAAGACCAGGACTTTCTATACATGACTTTTACAGAACGCGTACAGTTTAGTAGAATTGATCGATAGCCTGGGTCGTGGCTAGCTGGGTACCTCAATGGCCAATAGATGGGCCAGGCCTGTGAACCGTCGCTTCAGCCGGTGTCCATGTACAAATTTTACCGGTGTCCCACCTGATATATCACCTATCACTTAAGGTAATCGGAGAACCTACCCGGTGTCCTGTGACACCGGGTGTGTCTACATGGGTCCGCCCCTGGTACCGACACAATAGATGCTTTTGTCCATAGGTGAGATACGCTACCCAACATTTAAGAGGTACTCCCTCCGTTCAAAAATAGATGACCCAACTTTGTATTAATTTTAGTATAAAGTTGGGTCATCTATTTTGGAACGGAGGGAGTAGCAGATAGACCAATTAAATTTCTTGGTTGTTTGGTGTGAAAAACACCTACCGTAACCTTTCTTGTGTACCATTGTTCAGTCATTGAATTATCTGTTACTGTGTGCATAGGCAGAACTTGTAAAGGATCCCTCCATTCGATTGTTACAGTTTATTTCTGTGCTAGTGCCGTGTTCAACCAGCATTTGAATTGGCCTGCAGTTTTTTTATCAAGGATTGCTTAAGGAATATGTTTACTTTGAAAATCCTGCATGATGTAGTCTAATCACATTTCAAGGAGGCCATCAAGAATTTTTTTTCCTCAATTGACATGGTTAGACACTTTTTTGTGTTGCCTGTTAAATATATATCTAAATCTTCCATATGTTCTCTCAAAAGTAATGATAATGTTATTATCCCTCCTTATGTATTTTTGAACTCTCCTTATATTTTATTTCAATGCAAGGTTAATATTAATGATGCCACCAAAGAGTACCTGAAGAAACATGTTGAAGAAAAGAAGAAGGTACATGAGAACACCAAAAAGGAGGAAGATGAAGGTGGGGATGGGACTTCTGCTGTTGCTGAAAATGAATCATTGAAGCTTGTTTCTGGTAAAACAGATGAAACAGAAGATTCCGGAGATAAGGATAGTGAAGAAAACACCAAGAAATTTGGGATTGTTACAAATGAGGATTCTGAGGCTGATAAGGCTGCTGCAGAACTAATAAACAGTATTATTGAAGAGTGGTTAAAGACTCGACCCCTGCCGCCGCCACCACCACCCCCGCCGGTTCAACCATCTGCTGACATCTCATCCAAACATAACAACGGGGAGTCTGTTGTTGACATGGCAATGACTGGTATGGAATAATGGTAATAGTTTTTTGGCCAAATTTGCATTTGAATAATATGTATTTCATCACTGCTGCAGATTCTGAAGATAATGATGATTGTGTTGACAAAAGGACAGTTAGTGAAACTGAAAAGACAGAAAATGACTCTCTTGATAGGAGGAAAGATAAAGAGCATGACAAGGAGAAGCAGGAAAAGGAAAAAGAACTTCAAAGATATGAGCGTGAGCGTGAGCGAGAAAGAGTCAGGAGGGATAGAGATAAGGAACTCAAGCATAGAGAAGTGGAAAGGATGTACAAAGATCACCTTAAAGAGTGGGAATCCAGGGAGAGAGATAAAGAATATCAAAGACAATACGAGAAGGACCGTGAGAAGGAAAAAGAACGTGAACGCAAAAGGGAGATCATGAAGCAGGAAGATGAAAGCGATGAAGAGGATTCGAGGAAAAGAAGACGAAGGAGCAGTAACGCACTTGAAGAGAGGAAAAGGCGGAGGCAACGCGAAAAACAGGAAGACTTCGCGGACAAATTAAAAGAGGAACAGGAAATTGCTGAAGCAAGGAGGCATGCAATAGAGCTGCAACAGCAGGCAGATGAAGCAGCTGCGGCAGAGTCTGCTATATTTATGGAGGTTGATGGTGATGACGGGAAGGAAGCAGATGCACCAAACAAGCCGATTGTTTCAGATGATGATAATGTCGTCAGCATTGCTAATGGTGTTGATGCAGGTAAGTAAATATTTCCTCACAAAGTTTATCACATTAGCTACATTCTAGTTCCAACATTTTTGCATCCATTCTACAGATGATGGCAAAACTCATAAGGACTGTAACGGTGATGAAGCAAGTATGGTACCTGGTCAAATTCTAGATATCAAACAAAATAGCAATGCTCCAGCAAAAAAGTTAGGTTTTGGTTTGATTGGCTCTGGTAAACGGACATCTGTTCCATCAGTTTTTGCTGAAGAGGATGACGATGATAATAAGGATAAACGGATAAGACCTTTAGTACCTATTGATTACTCCACTGAGGAATTGCAAGCTGTGGAGGCGGATTCTTATTCTGACCAACCCAATAATATTGTAGCAGCTGCTGAGTTTGCTAAGCGCATCTTGGTATCTAATCAAAAGGAAGAGCAGCCTGAAACCGAAAGGAGTAGGAGAGCCATTGATAGATCGACCCTAAGGGATAAAAGTCGAAATGATGAAGATGGTGCACGTCTTGGTGATGACAGAAGAGAAATGATGCATGATCGAGACAACGATAAGCCCAAGTTAGAGAACAAGAAAGTTTTGGATGCAAAACAATTGATTGACATGATTCCGAGAACAAAGGAAGAGCTTTTTTCCTATGATATTAATTGGGCAATATATGAGAAGGTGAATTATTTTTCTTGACCTTGTATTTTCAGTACTCAAAAGTTGGGTAATGTTTTGTTTCTTCACCCATTTCAAGTTATTTTTATGTCATATCTTTGTGCATGCATGTTATTTCTTTGTTCTGTGAGGTCTTTATGGAAGCAGTTTAGGTATGTTTGCCAGTGGTTACAAAAGGAAAAAACACACGATGTAGTGCTCCTTAAACCATTGCAGATCTGAAGATATTTTTTCCTGAACAGATACGAGATCCACCGCATAATTATTTCATTAGTATAATGTTAAACCTGTTATTATTTTCATTCCGGTCAACGTGCATAATTCACAATTTGATCTGAGAGGCACCATATGTTGGGTACACAAGTGTAAAGGTGTGTCAGATGGTTTTTACTCTGAAATATTTGATTTTGCTTTCCCTGTTGTGTTTGCGGTGTGGTTGTATTCAACACTAACATCATTGTTCTTTTGTGTCAGCATGAGTTGCATGATAGAATGAGGCCTTGGATCTCGAAAAAGATAATCGAATTTCTTGGTGAGGAGGAATCGACGTTGGTGGAATATATTGTCTCGTGCACCAAAGATCATGTGCATGCATCGAAAATGCTGGAGCTCCTACAGTCAATTTTGGACGTCGAGGCTGAAATGTTTGTCCTTAAGATGTGGAGGATGCTAATATTTGAAATTAAGAAAGTTGAAGCAGGACTATCAGTAAGAGGGAAGGCTTGAAGTTGAGGCAACTGTCTTGTAACATTTTCTGCTTTTTGTCTGCAACTGTTTTCTTACTTCTAAGCTTATGTTGTAAGACAGCTGCTGTAAACATTTGAGTGAGATTGAATTACTGGTTCCCATATGTTCTGATGTCTATTGTAGAAATGTATACATGAACTGTTGATTCTCAATATTTGATCTGAAATTGCTGCGTACTTGCGTGTTTACAGTGTGCCCTTTTATTGTTTCCAAGTTCCAACAGGTGATTGTAGAATGTGCTAGTGATAAGAGTACATTTACTCTTCAATCTGTACCAACTTGATTTTCTTTGCACATGATGTACATGGTGAAAATTTTCATGAGACTTTGAAAGTGTACTTGTTTTACTTCAACAAAACCGTGGAGAAAAAAAAACAGATAGCACCTGGTTGGAGAAATATTTTTTGGACTGTTCCATTCAAAATTCATGTAAGTTTCCTATAAGAAATCTAACTTCTTCACCTTGTGTTTGCAATTGTGGTATTCTATTATAGGGTGCGTATTGCGAGCTGAGTAAAATGAAGCCACCACATTGAATATGTCATATATTAGTAAAATGAAGGCACCACATTGAATATGTCATATATTTCGTGTAAGAAATCTAACTTCTTCACCTAGTGTTTGCAATTGTAGCATTTTATTCTAGGGTGAGTATTGAGAGCTGAGTAAAATGAAGCCACCACATTGAATATACGTATAAGAAATCTAACTTCTTTCGCCTTGTGTTTGCAATTGTAGTATTCTATTCTAGGGTGAGCATTCACAGATGAGTAAAATGAAGCCACCACATTGAATAGAGCTTCAATATTCCTATTCTACTTATGATAATCACATGCTCTTGTTTGGACTTTAGAAACTTGACAATATTATTTGTGGCCTAAAGAATTTGTCATTCTGATCATGAATCTTTGAAACATATTAAAAGTCAAGCAAAACTGAACTGTACATATGCTAAATGGGTTGAATTCATTGAGATTTTTCCTTGTGTCATTGGACACATGAAAGACAAAGAAAATGGTAGTGTTGATGCATGTCTCGTCTATATAATGTGCTTTCATAACTTGATTTTAAAATATTTGATTTGGAGACCGTCAAAGATCAATATGTGCATGATACTGAATTTAAAGATGCATTGCAGAATTTTAAAGATGGAAGAACATGAAACACGTTTGTCATTAATGATTGCTATATGTTCCGTGCTAACAAGCTGCATTCCAGCTAGCTTTGTTCGTCTTTTATTGTTGCAGAGGCACATGGAGGAAGATTAATGGGACACTTTGGCGTGAAGAAGATGGATGCCATATTTGCTAAACATTTCTTTTGGCCAAAATGAAACGAAAAGTCGATCATTTTGTTGCTCGCTGCACTGTATGTCAAAAAGCTAAGTCATGACCCAATCCTCTGGTTTATATATGTCTTTGTCTGTACCTAGTGTTTCATGGGTGGACATATCCATGGACTTTGTTTTAGGTTTACCTTGAACAAAGAAGGGGAGGGATAACATATTCGTTGTCATGGATAGAATTGTGAAAATAGCACACTTTATACCATGTCATAAAAGCAATGCTGCTGCTAATTTGCTGATTTGTTCTTGCATGAAATTATTCACTTGCATGGTGTGCTGAATACTATTTATTTTAGATCTTGATACTAAATTTCTTAGCCATTTTTGGAGATGCCTATGGGTTAATTTGGAGACTAAACTGCTTTTTAGTACTACATGTCACCCACAAATTGATGAGACAAACTGAAATAGTCAATAAAACATTGTCTACTATGCTTAAGGTTGTTTCAAAGAATAATTTGAAAATGTGGGAAGAATGTCTTCCCCACATTGAATTGCTTATAATTATTCGCTGCATTCTACCACTATGATGTGTCCTTTTGAATTGTGTACAATTTTCTACCTCGTGCACCCATTGATTTATTGCCTCTTCCATCTTCGGAGAAAGATAATTTTGATATTAAACAACATGCTGAATTGGTATTAAAAATTCATGAATTAACTAAGAAAACATTGAGCGTATGAATGCTAAATACAAACTTGCTGACGACTGTTCACACATGAACATGTCATCGTGTACCCTCGACGCCGGGGGTGATGCACCGCAGCTCACGTGAAGGAGATCCGACCGACAACGTGATACGCAGGACAGCCGGCAGATGCTTTTGTAGACCCGGAGGCCTGCTTGCCCGGGAGGGACCCCGTCAAGGCTCGCGACGGCTATGGGCTGCTCCAGGTTAATTCGCTCGCCCCTAGAGCCTTGTGGATCCTCAGCCTTCCAGCATGAAGAACTAGCGAAGAACGAGAAGAAAGATATAAGGGAGAGATAAAAAGTAGATGAACACGAAAAAGTAGTAGATCGATTGTTCAATTGTGTGTTGTTCAATCGGCCGTCACCTCTTAGGTATATAAGAGGCGGCTGGGCTTCCCGTGCAAGGAAAAGGTTTGGATTAATGTCCAAAACTCTAATAAAATTTGGATTGGTTTTGTCCGAACTTTCCAAAACTATTGGATCTAAAACTGGCTGCAACTTGTGGGTCTTTTTTGAGGTGGTAAACGACTTCGGATGAAAACGAGCCCAAAAGCAACCTTGACCGCTTCAACGAGACGAACAACTTTCATGTTGAACGGTTTTTGATTAGAGATCATCTCAAGGGTCAAATCGCTCGTGCAAAACAGGCTACTATTCGCGCTACCCATCAGACACAGTGGCTGATGGCGCGCGCCACTTTTGGCTCATGATAGGGTTGTATCCGGATGGCTCTACATTTTGCATACAAATTCGGATTGGAACAATTTTTCAAATCGACCGTTTCGACGAGACAAAGACAATTCGTGTAGAAATGTTTTTCAACTGAGGCCATCTTTGAGGCTTAATTGGCCGAATAATACTCTGAATATAAAATCTGAGTACTTCGAGTATAGTTTCGGCCCTCGGGATGAGATCAGATAGCGATGACCCAAACTTTAAAGATGTTCACGTCGACAATACGGAACTTTTTCATGTAGACCACTTCTTCATTTGAGGTCATCTTAATTAAGTTCTTGACCATGCCAAAATTGGGTGTCAACACATGCTCCCCTGTTTTTCGGCAAAACTTTTGTGCCGAAAAATAACTTGCACGGAGTTTGTTCTAAGCACGATGTCTACACTCCATCGTCCATTTGTATGTGCTTAGGACGATAAGTATATATCGGCCATTGCTTGTTTGAACCTCTTGATGCAACTTGGGTGAAAACTTCTCAACTTATATAACAATTCAATGATAAGGTTCCATAGATATGTATCTCAAAGCCATCCTTCGAACCATATTATTCACCATTTCGCTAGGATTTTGCAGATAATCAAGAATGAACTTCCTCTAATCCTTGCTTTGCCTACATAAAAGTTTCATTAGTGGCCGAGGTGGTGAGCTCCAATTTGGCCTTACCTATGTTGGCAAGAATAAGCATCAGCTATTGATAGATGTGCAATACACCATGACGGACATGGTAGCTGGATGCTTGCTATGGCAACTCTCTCCAATTGTCATGTCTAGATATATGAAGAATATTAAAGCAACCTAAGGTAAATTTTGCATCTAGACACACCCCAAGATAAACTATAAGTGATTCGTCAGAACATTGATAAACCCTGGATATTTGTTGGACTACTCATAATGAATCACCGAAAGTTTCAATATGTATAGCACCTATAGCAAATAAAATATTCAATCCGAATAATAATGCATATTCGGTTTTGATTAATCGTGCATAAAAATATTCTAAGCGGCATGAGGCTTAGAAAATAGTACCATAAAGAAATATATAAACAACACCAAAACTTTGGCCATTGCTACGAATTGAACCATCAAAACATAATCTCCATAGTACTAGAAAGACAAGGCTAATATCAATATTATGCATGTCATTAATCCGATGTTCAGTAATAAAATCAGCTATGATTTGGCCTCTTATATATCTCAAAGATGCATAAGTCAAATCATATCCAAACAAAGTATAAGCCCACTAGCGAATTCTGCAACTATGAATTGGCCTATATAGCAAATATTCAATGACATCGGTCATGATGTCTCAACTCCATTCAATCATAATATAGGCATACATATAAATTTCCATGAGCACGTACCTTGTTTCGCTCTCCAATCGAATTAAGGACGATGTTCGAATACTACACAGGCCATGCATTAACATACTCTTAGGACGATAGATAAATGTTGTCCATTACCATGTAAACTTCATTCAAAGCACATATAGCCAAAATAAACAAATGCAATGACAAATGAAGTATTTCGGCCCTTTGGATCAGTAACAAAATTGTAGCTAATCAAATGTATAGTGATTTGGTAATACCCTTTCATGATGTAAAAATTATATTGCAACCATGGATCATTATAAGCCCATTGAGGGTAACCAATCATACCTGATGACGAATTCCATGGAATCATCATTAATTGGATAGTTGAAGAATATGGAGAATGTGTGGACTGAAAATGTTGCAACCTTCGGCTTGGTCCTTCATAGTTTTCACTCTTTTCCCTCTTCACCTTTACCGCACTTCTTGTAATGGAAGCTCACACATAATTCTTATTTTGAGTACTTCCTTTGGGAACCCATGCCATGTTCCTTCCTTCAAGTTGTTGTGCACTAAGTTTTTGTAATTTCTTCTTTTGCCAATATGATAAGCCGAGTGGGCATTTCGGCTGTGATTCTATTTTGACCAATGACAATTCTTTTTTGGCTTTGTGCACCCTCAACTTCTTTTCTTCAAATTTGGCAATTTTATTTTTAACAATTGATTGCTCCACTTCTTTGCCTTTTGTAGCCAATGTCAACACTTTAATTGGCTCTTTGTTATTTGATATCAAATATGAAGTAGCACACTTACGACCATGTTGCCTGACCCGGTATACTTGTTTGACCACCTATTTCTTCGTCCATGGGGTCCGGACCGATTCCTTATGATTGAAACGGT